TTGTACAAACGGTCCGGAAAAAGGGTTGGAGGGTTTGGGGGGCGCAACTCCCCCCCCCCCCCCTCCCACAGACCGTGACAGAGAAACCCCAATACCCATCACAGACATTGACAGACAGGGCTTTAGACCCATCACAGACTGTAACAGACCCGCCCGGAACCTATCAGAGACCGTGACAGACAGGCCCCGGGACCCATCACAGACCGTGACAGACAGGCCCGGAACCCATCACAGACCGTGATAGAGGAACTGTGGTTCTAAAGCATTAGATAAACTGTTAGCTACAAATGTATCGAAAGAAATGGAACAAAACGATTTCCATTTAACTAGTAACAATAGATTCATCGTGTTTCACATTTTTAATCCCACAAGGGATTGCGCTAACAGCTTTTTAAAATAGAGAAATTCGTAATATGTCGACCATTTGGTATTGCATAGTGGAAGCCTAAGATTCATAGCCTTGCCCGGGAGATTCTAGAAGGTTCTAGAATGATCTGAGGGCTCTTATTACTGACTCACTTATTCACATTACTAGGAATATGCACTTTGTCATAGATAGCTTCGTACCCTCCATAGTTCTCAAGAGAAACGCAATCAATCACTCTTGTCCTTTCTCTGCTCCGCCCCTTATTGTCATGGAGGCATACTTACTAATCTTTTCCGTTTCTCGTCACACCCCGCATATAATAGGTTAGGAAGGAATCGATGATAGCCAGAATCTGAACTGGAACCCACCATTGTTTTGGGGAAAAATACATTAGTTCCACAAAATGACTGAATCATTCGGTTGCACATATGAATTCCGAAGGGAAAGAAATGAAAGTTCCGGAACATACTGATAGCCTATTAAAGCATCCAAAGTTATTTAATTCTTCAATAGCTATTTTAAAATACTGGTCAGCTTTGTATTCACACAGAATATATGTTCATGAGTAGCCATTTAAGCTATAACACTATTTTAAGATATTGAAGAGTAGTTAATAAATTCTCGTATGTATTGAAATAGGTGTGGGCTAATTATTTAAAGTAACTGGTCGTTTTCGAGCAAGCGGGGAGGAGGTTAGTGAACTTGAATGCAAATATCAAAAATTGAAATAGTTAACCCGTCTGTAGCAACATATTGGTTTAGCAATCTTTATTATTTTGTGAGGCATTGACAACTAGCATTATAAAACAATTATCATAACTATTCATAAGATTTGATAAACATTGAAGACAAAAGAAATACGCGTATTTGAAATGGTCAGTCACACAAGAAGAAAAAGAGAAAGTACGAGGCTCTGTTAGAAACGAATCAGCTATTAAAAAGATATAGGTCATGGACTTCTTTTTTTCAAACTTATGAGGTTTTGGGTGTGGGTGTGAGTGTGGGTATGGATGTTTTGTGCATCTTCTCTTCACCTACGCATGCCAGTACCCCCATACCCACACCATTTTTCAATTGTTTTCTTCCTTGTATTGGAGAAAGAAGATGAATATTTCCGATTTTCTAAAATATTTATGCAATTCCAACAATGATTACTATATTGAAAACTATCATTTTCATATCGTTTTACTGAGAACTTGTCTAAAATTCATGCTCACTCAAGTATCCCTTTCATTGACACTAGAGGAAGTCTATCATTGCTTACCATTGCCTGTTTTCGAACAATGTCAACAATTCCTGATCGTATACAAATGAATATCGATACGTGCACTTCATTTAAAATGCATTCCTTTTTACAAATATTGTTTTTTTTCTTTGTTTGTTATTGTTATTAGTCCACTCTTCATGTTGAGTATTTTTCTGTTCTTACGAGCAGGGCTTCTCAAGAAAGTGCGTGGTCGAGAGTTATAAAAGAAAATAATGTAGAAAGAAGAAAGATTAGACAAGCAATGCTTTTTTATGCTGCAAAGGTAACAAAAGAGTCGTTTGACAAACAAACTACGCGTCTCACATAAACAAAATTCAACTAAGTTGGAAATTATTACTATTGAAATTTTTTGACAAATTTTATTTTGATTATTGTATCTTGGTAAGTAACTCTCGACTATGGTTCCTAAGCAGATCTTCGAGTTTTTTAAACGTCATACATATAACGGATGTATGACTAGAATATTAATCACAAAGAATCGAGACAAAAGTGAAATGGATATTCATCACGAACTTCTGTTTATCTGATCGACTTATGATTTCTTCTTAGTCAGAAGTCTATGGAGTGTATTTATCTGTATTCATCACACTCACTTTTATTGATTTAATAGTTCTTATAGAATTTTGTCCACATTCTACATATTTAGCATTCTACGTGTATTCCATTCTATTTATGACCTTCCCGTGATTCTCGATATCGAGATTGAACTATCACAACAATGTCACTGATTATTTCACAAGATAAAGACTAAAGACGACACTTACATGCTTTGAAAGTTTGCGTACGAAGAAGAATTAGTGGATCGTTAACAGCAGGTGTGAAGTCTTTACGTAACATAGAAATGCTTAGCAGCAAAACCGAAAACCTATCCATGGTGGCTGTGGGTGCAGATGAAGGCAAGAATGTCTGTGAAAAAAAGAGCCGTGTCCACCCACACTCACACTCAGACCGAGACCCACACCCTAAAGAAATGTCGTATTTGATGGAAAATTTTGCACTGGTCACGAATATGATTGTCTTACCTGTCACCTTTCAAATCTAAGAGAGCTTCCACGAATCCATTGAGGAATTAAAGCTTGATCAGTGTTTCGATTCCTCGATCGACAGCTAGGACAATCACATTCGTGATCAGCGTAAAATTCTCTACCAGATATGATATTGCTTTATTCGTTGCTAGAGAGACACTCAAATATTTTCCCTCATAAGTCAGTGACTGCATGAAATGTCTACTACCATCATCTGAAGTTTTACTGTACAAGGTCAAATTTTTAAGATTCGTAACCCTCACAGGGCTCATAATTGTCATACGAAAATGTTGAGCACTATGGGCTCATGTCCATGGTTGGCAGTCATAATTATCAAGTGATGTGCCGTTTGCTATGCGATGTTACGCTGTCGAAATGGATGCCAGATGTTTACAGTCAAAAGATAGTTTCGGTCTCGCGGATCCTTTATTCATTTCGATATCATATGGCAACCCGATTTCAGAGCCTGCGTGGCTAAAGACACTATTAGTTTCACTCGAACGACTCAATCAAGTATTAGCTTAGCCATTCTTGCGGCTATGACATCTAGAAGTCTGTCAAAATGACCTTACGCACGTTTGCATCAGTTAGATATTTAACATCAAAGAGAATACCTAGTAGCTCCCGAAAACAAAATCCTTAAAAAACTTTGATATCCTGGAATAGTATGTTGTTTCAGGTTTATTAAAGTCTTGACTGTTAAATGACATTTTAGATGATTACCCAATCATAGATAAACAGATAACGAAAATGTTTCCACGTAACTCGTTCTACCTCATACCTGTTTTATATTTCCGCAGCAATGTCTGAGGTATTTCTCGCATTGTCTTACTTTTCTTAAGTTGCCCAATACGATTAAAAGCCTTTTAGTTCTCAATTTTATTACAAATCATACGATTGAAACTATATTCTTCTGTCTGATCTACAAAGTCTATAAACTGTAGCGACTGTATAAACTCCAAACAGTGTACACCCTTGAATTACAAATACTAAAGTTATCGTTTAGAACAATTACCAAAACAATCCATAGCATTGTACTCTGGCAAGAAACTTGGTTGTAAAGGTCGTGCTTGCTCGAAATGTGGTAGCTGTCGCGACTGGTACGTTACTGGTGATGCAACGACATGAAATTGAATCCGTAACAGCGAGAATTGAACTGATAGTGATAAGAAGCGTTGGGCACATGATCAGGTCTGGAAGCAATTCAAGTGTCGTGATGGTTACACGTGTCATATTGATGCTGCTTATGCTTAAGATGAAGATTTTTGTGATGTTGATGGTCATCTTATTAGTCCTCCTGGTACTTATCTTGCTGGTGTTGCTGATGCTGTTACTGTTTATCATTATCCTGGTTATTGTCCAAGTGGTGGTCCTTCTTATGGTCCTGATTTTAGTTGTGGTTATCGTACTTATGTTATATGTCTCTGTGAGGACAACAATATCCGCTGATATTTTATTTTTGAATAAAATTTTGACTGCTGGACGAAGAATGTTGACTATAATAGAATGGCAGCATAGGAGTAAAGTCAGTCGTAGATGGCGACTGCAGTTATGCGTAGAATGACGAGTCACGTCTACAATCATCTATAATGTGTATGTAAGGAGTGTACAGAAAGATCACAGCGTTACTCTTCTGGGATGTTTCGGTAGTAAAGCCTCCAGAGATTCGATGATTCCTACCAAAAATGCTTGCATGAATTTCGCAATGACGGGGGAGACTCACAATTAGGTAAAAATTGAATCCTTTGGTTCTCAACTCTCGCTTTTCAGCAGTTGACGTTGACGACGAGAACAGATAGATATATGTGCGTCAGTACTGATGATGATGATGATGCAGGGAGCTATGAGTTTAGGAATCATGTTGCGTTTCGACTTTGCTAAAGGGTCTCATCAGGTGATTATGATTGAGGAGAGAGCACTTCTAGGTGTGCCACGCTTTTCAGTCGGGGTTTCACGCATCTTATAGTCCTGAGTGAGCTGCGTCTATGGTAAAAAGAGTTCAAGTTTCTGAGGAGATAGAACTTTTTTATTATTACAGCTATAAAGATCATCTTATCAGGAAAAAAAAATACTATGCCACCCAATACAAGTTGAAACGGGATTGAGATTTTCGTCAGGTATAGTTGCGCTCATGTGGAACATAATATGAAAGTCTCAGCTCAAACAACCTTGGGAAGATCGAGTTATCAGGTTTACAAACTATTAAAGTTGTTCTATATGTGGGGTGTGAGTATGTGAATTTGAATTCTCTCTTCGCTGACCCACAGTCAAATCCACACCTACCCCATCCATAACATATGACAACTCGTTCTCTTTCGACATCTTGCTCTCGCTCTGTTACGTCAATGGATGAGTAACGAGTGGTACAAAAGTTTTGTACACAAATATTGGGTGTGATTGTTAGCTTACACACGGTGTTAGAAACCTATTTCTTTTTATGTTAGATAGAGTAAAGTCGGCAGATAAAAAGTACGTATTTCAAAAAAAAACTAGAGCTCATTGTAACGACAAAGGGAAGAAGATGGGATGACAGACTAAAGGAGTAGCTTACCGTCATCATCGGTAATGATGTTTATTAGCTAATTTACATCTCCAGAATGTGCCTACTTCATACACAACACAAGCTTATTAAAGAGAGAGCAAGAGAAAGACAGAGAAAGAGATGAACGCAAGAAAGAAACAGAGAGAGAGATAATAGAGAGGAGAGGAAAATCAGTGAAGTGTGACCTCAATATCGGCACACTCATGTGGAACTCAATGTTTTGATTTTGTAAAGGATATCAAAATCCTCTTGGATTATATTCGATAGCAGCCATTAGATCTATCTCATCTTACCTAGGAACGCAAAGTTTTTAGAAAATATAGCAAAAGTGTCTTGCATGAAATGTTCAATTGAAGCTTTGAGTCACTTCGTAGTTTCACCAAAACTACGGCAAATTACATAGCAGATATTTTATTCATCTTATAATAATACTCGTGCCTACACATAAGAGCAAAACAAAAACAATCATATTTTACAAAATTCCTAAATCAAGTTGTCAGTATTTGTTTTTGATTAACCTTCTCTACGAGAGATCATTGTTTGATTATCGGTTAAGCGACAGATTTTGCTCAACAACAAAGACTACAACACGTGGTTTCCAATTAACGTCAATATTTTGATTTCAATAATTATCAATTTATACTTATAGCATACAGGCAAGAAAAATATACTCAGTTAAAAGCTTAATTTCACCTTTTCTTGATGATAACGATTGCTTGTAGAATAAAGTAGTAAAAACAGGTTCTGTATGCGACGATTTTGTGACAACGAAGAATACAAAAAGATGCTAAGTGTTCCTTTCGTATCAGCTCAAAAAACAAACTTAATCGACATACGATAACTTTTCAAACTTCTATGATGTATCTTATCATCCGTGTGTATCGTGTAACATAATACCATTATATCGGACTAGATCTATGCTAGACAGTCTGAATAGAGAAGAAAGTGAGTGTGATAGGAAGACGTATTTGCGTTGCATTTGTGATAAAAAGATCATATTGGCTCATAACTTTCCATCAATTGTAGCTTATGTGAAGTTTGTGAACATTGGATAGCCATATTGGGCCTAGTATTGGGAGATCTTTCGAATAGTATCTCTATCAGCTTTCAATGGATGTTATCCAGCAGAAACAACCATAGAATATGATATTTCTAAGCTAAGATAATGTGACGAAGAAGGGTATCCTAGACATGCTTTTCTCCAGACACTGAATTGGGGTATATCAACTTTTAACCTTAGAATTTGGTACTCCATCGGGCCTCATATATACTAATTTATAACCCATAAAATGAATGTGCTGTTTTGCTTCTTTTATCATAAGGTAACGCACTCTGATGAGACCATCATAGAGATCAACTGAAAGGTCGATCTCATTTTTTCAGACCAATAAGTAATATTCATTCTGATAGTTCATTCGACCTTTGTTCTCACGTCAGAGTGAAGTTTTCTCCGATGTAACATGAACTAATTATTTTTTTAAATTCTTTATACACTAAATCGTGGCTTAAGTTTTTGTTTGAGAAAAGTTCTTATTTGGCATTGTTTGAAATAAATATTGATTTATTTCAATACCTGTTTCAACTTCTTTCAAGATTTTAATGAAATTCTTTTAATTCTACATCGCAATAATATTGGACACTTTGCTCTAAATTTATTTCTTTTTAAGTCCCAAAGAGGTGAACCATTCAGCATCACTCTCAGTATCTGGTTTGAGAACTTATATTCATACAAATAATGGTAAAATCTTTTGTCTATCCTAATTGGATCTGGTTAATCATGTTATGCTATTTCGTCAAGTGATGGCTTTTCTGCAATTGACAGAAAATAGTATACAGTTAAACGGTTGGATTCAAGATTGTTTTTATCGTATGACTAATCAAAAAATGATAACAGAACGACAACAATTAGAACTTCAATGGCAAATTGATTGGAACTGTCATGTACATCGTTTTCATCCGATTGTTTGTATCAACCATAGTATCAAACAAATTCCGGATCATTATTTTATTGACAAACAAACTCAAAAATTAATCATTGATGAATATGAGAAGAGTCTTCTGTTATTTTGTGGAAAAGAAAAACGAGTATCCTTTGACAATATGCTACAGAATAATGCATCATTTGTAAAGTCAGCAAGAAAAATATGATTATCTTAGCCACATTTGAAGTCGATATGATATAACATACATTTATGTGATATCTATTGAGAAATCGAGAACTTTCAATAGGTCTATGTGGATTTCTACTTGATTATGACTATCCGATTGATTCACAAGTATTAATCAATTCTTATCAGAATACAGCTGCTCGATGGAAAATAACTTATCACTCAGATTATGTTCTGAATATTAATCGAGATCATTAACAATATCAATTAAAAAGGGAAAAATTAACAATGAGATCTTTATGACTCTGTATCATGTAGAAAAATATCTGAAATATCTTTAACTATTGCCGGTATCAGAAAGAAAAAATGAAAAGTATCTTTACAATAACAAGTTTGTCACCGGAAGTGTTCACTATTCGGGAATTCTATGAATAATATTTTCTATGTCGACACCCTACTAATAAGTGGTATGTAGAAGAGTGGTCTAGAAATCTTTATCTGATAACTTCAGATAGTTTTCATACAGAAGATATAAATGAACGAATTCAATCAATATATTGTATTCATCGTTATTAGCACTGCATAGTTTGACTGCTTTCATTACTCTAGACGCTACTAAACTTGAGTTCTGCATTAAGATACGCCAATCCTCAGAAATCAACACGACCTTTATTAAGTTAAATGTACTAATAACAAGAAATACGAGTTCATTGATCACCTTGATTTTTATTTTTGAATTTACTTTAAAAGACTTGTGAATATTTCGGACTGATCCTCAGTCCATTTTCAACACAGATAACTAGTAAAAATACAGAAATTTTGTTTTTCCCATATAACTATTCTTTTCTTTAACATTGCGACGCAAAAGAAAAATATTTCTCCCTTGCATTGCAACGTTAAAGAAAACAATAGTTATATAGAAAAAAAAACAATTTTTATATTTTTACTAGTTGTTTGTGTGGAAAATGGACTGAGAATCAGTTCAAAATATTCACAAGTTTTTTAAAATAAATTCAAAAAAAACTAAAAATGATCACTGAACTCGTATTTCTTGTTATTAGTTTATTTGGATATATATTTCATTGAACGAAATCCATGTTCTTAAAACTCTTAAAAGAAAAATGTCAGAGTGAATTTGTACGAATTAGCCTATTGTATGATTTAACATCAAAATTTGTGAAATATAAATTATAAAATAACACGTATATGAAAAACAAATTTTGTCAACAACATCAACAAAACTGTTTACAATTTGAATATCATAACAAATGCGAACAAGTTTATAAATCAGAAGAAGAAAAAACACATTATTATTAACAATTAATACAAAAATGAATGCACTTGAACGTCAATTATTAAAATAACATTTTAATAGATTAAAAGAAAAAGAAGAAACTAAAATTAGATCAATTCATAAAGATAAAATAGAACGTCTATCAAAAGGAAATGTTTAATTATAACAAGTTTATATTAAAAAAGTTGTACACAACGTTTCGTCTCGAGAATTATTTACTGAAGAAGGAATCTATCTTATCAAAAGATCTACAACTCTGTATCGAAAATAAAATAAAAGACACTACAGAATTTAAAACATATATTGAAATGATTGCGTTTAACATTTTGCGATAACTAGAAGAGTCTGAAACAAAATCGCTAGATGAGCGTATTATTAGTTGAATAAAAAGAACAGCCTACCGATCATTAAAAATAAACAAAACTAAGGAAATTACAAATATTAATCCAAATGGATTATCAGCATTAAAATCATCAACGAACGATAAAACTATTGTTCTAATGAA